GAACATTGTTGACTCCAACAATTATTTTTATATATATATATATATATTTTGGAATGACTCTCAGTAACTACTACACCAAATTTTAGCTCAATATTTGTGAAACTGGTTAAGTTAGAAGCATTTTTGCATAAGCTAATTTCACTTAGCCATGGCGGTCATCTTGGATTGGGTTGATGTGGTTCCCGAAGTTACGTAGCTGTAGAGGTGCATCAGACAGGTACTTTTTGGTAGTTTCAGTAAAATTCATCCCGTGGTTCATAAGACATGTTTCTAAAGCAAATACACACAAGTGTGCACACACAACACAGACAAAAACCTTATGACCTCTCACCTTTATCAAAACAATCATGTGTAAACCAATGCAAAAAGAAGCTGCATTCATCCAGAAATGCTCCACGTAAGCTAAACTAAATTATGAAGGTGTATGTGTCACAACACTACTCACGCTTAGGCCTTTAAAAAAAAAATCATTGTTTTTGTGATTTATATTGATCACAACAATACAACAATTTTTTGTTCTATAAATGCTGTTTCTCCACAGTTTATAATTAAAAGCCAAATGATAAAAGTGTTGTAAAGGCACTTTATAATACAGAACCATAATAATAAAGGTAATGTATTAAACAAATTAAATGTTCTGTAAAAGTGACACAGCTCATTTGCTAGCGATATACTTTCCTAAAGAGTGCTACTGCTACATTAGTCACCAACTAAATGCTCTCATGAATAATACATGTTTAATAAACTCTTTGTATTCATGTGTGCACACGGCTGCAGCCGTGGTGTGTAATCAGCTCCACATTCATTCACGCATGCTTTTCCTGCATTCGTCACCTTATCATCCAGCTGTTTGTAAAGCTTGCGGATCTCCTCCTCGTACTTGTGCCGCTCTTCCTCAGAGATGTGGACCACGATGGAGGAGGCGATAGAACAAGGGCTGCAGGGAGTGCACGGGGTGCAGGGGCTGCTCAAATCAAGAGGCAACTGCTCGGAGTCTGGAGAAGCGAAGGGAGTATCTTCTGATTCGTCACTCAGGTGCCCAAGAACAGCAATGTTCTCACCTAAAACAAGGGACAAATAATTTCTTTAATTTTTGTCAATGTGTTGCCCTTGAGTTGAGCACATGCACCCCCAAGGATTGGTGCATGAAAAGGGATTATAGTTTTATCTTCACATGTCCTTTACTTACTCCTAAATGCATTTCATTATCAGGTTTGAGACTTTTAAGAGCCGTGAAAGTCATTGTTTTCAGCACTGAGTGAGCAGCTTCATTACACTACACTGTAATATCACTGTAAGTCTAAAGTCTGATATGATCTTTAAACATCCAGCTGTAAACTGTCAGAATTAACTTTTTTTAATTAAACAATCAGTGTTTATCTGTAAAACCTCCTGAGATAACTTGTGCGGTGATTAGAAAATTAAAATGAACTGAAAATAGCTTAAAAGCACAGGAGTTGTCCCGGTGGCGACTCTGGATTAGATTTTTTTAAGCTTTCCTCGCTCGTTAAAAAGGTTTATGATTTGCCTCTAGGAATAAATGCTGAAAAATGGGAATGCAAAGACTTTATCAGATTATGAGGAACTGAGATCTTCCAAGTTCAAGTAACATATTAACACCAGATTAATTTAGATTAACTCTAAATTGAGACCAGCTGGATAATTCCACACCAAAACCAACAACTACATAAAAACCTGCCCTGGATACCAAAGTCCTTTCTAGGTTTGTATTATTTTTCCTAGACTTGTGTTATTTATGTCAGTCGAAGGGGACCAACTTCCCAGCTCTATATTTCTATTCTCTGCTTGCTGTTGAGTGGCTTTTTGTGATTCACAGTTCACATCCTCGTCATTTATGCAGCCTCTAGCTGTCTGAAGCTAGCTGTTTTAGCTCCTGTCACTTTGAGCATTTAGTGGACTGGAAGTAGAGGGCTATTTATAATATACACGGTTTCATGAAGACGCACCGTCCAGTTAGTGTAGCTCAGCAGCTCCACTCTTTGGAGTTTTAAAGCTTATAGCTGACCCTCAGGGGTGGAAGTAACAAATTACAAATGTTCACATTACTGTAATTAAGTAGATTTTTATTTTGGGTACTTGTACTTTTATGAGTATTTATTTCAAGTGTGTAATTTTACTCACACTTAAGTACAATTTCGACCATGTAATCTACTTCACTACTTTTAAAATCAAAAGTTGCTACTGAGTACGGCCGCAATTTGAATTAATATCCAAACCGTTCATCTGCATCTTTGTAGCCAACAAGGCTCCCAGATCGCGAACACACCAAGTACCGTAAGCAAAGGACAACTCCACAGAGCATATGTGTCAAACTCAAGGCCCAGGGGCCGAATGTGGCCCTCGTTGACATCTTGTCTGGCCCCCAATTTGATATTTTAAATATAAAATACTTATCACTTAAATTGTTTAGGTAATATTTGATTATGATGTCAAAAGTGCAACAGAGATTGTCAAATGAACCCAATCAAACTTTTGTTGAGGAACCTGCAACCAAGAAAAGATGCTGGGTATCTGATTTGAGTTAATGTAGATTCTGAAACCGGCCCTTAGTGTTGGATAAATTAAAAAATGTTATCATTTTAAACTGTTTTTAGACTTCTTACTATTTTGTTTAAAACTCCAGCCGTGTGAACTGAAGTCCAGCTGAAACCCCAAACATCCAGAGTTTTGTTCTCAGCTCATGTGCGTGTGTGCTGAGACCACAGACCTTGGGTTTTAAACAACCATGGCTGTTATTTAGTTCTGACCTTGCTACTCTGCTATCCTGTGTTCGCATCAAACTGTCTGTTAGTAATCATATTTTGTGTCTCCGCTGCATCGGAGAAGTTTGTATTTGCTGATTTGTGCCTTGTTTCCCCTCCACCTAATAAAATACGAGCGTCACAGTCGGAACGTCGGACTTCTTCTCTTGACGTTTGGTCGAGCAAGAACTCCCACCTCTGCAGAGGGCCTTTTTTTAAGAAACTTACACTCTGTCTTGTGTGAATTCTTTACAAAGGTGTTATCAGGAGAATAACCCTTTCAAATGTGTTATCAGGAAACAACCCTTTCACTTAGTTTGAAAAGGATTTTAATTTTGGCCCCCTTTTGTAAGTGAGTTTGACACCCCTGCCGTAGAGTAGAGAGTCATTTATGGACCGAAGGTTTAGAGAAAAAGCCAAAATGGAGACAGTGGACAACACTGTCAACAGAGAAAATGACGAGGTAAAGGCTGAGGACGAGTGTCCGTGGCCGTACCTGGAGGAATGTTTCATGTACAGAGGTGAAAAGAAGACAACGTCCAGATGCAAACTTTATTTAATCTCTACGGTGACAGCAGCTTCAGCATATAATCTCAGAAATCATATTGCAGTATACGAGGTTTTACAGCTGTATGATTTGCTTTTTTATTGCTTGTATGTGTATGTTATTCATTTGGCTAAGTATGCAAAGAGCTTAAATATTGTCACTGCCATCAGTTTGCCTGGTACTAAAATAAGACGGAGCTTCTGAGTGTCTGAGAAATGTACTTTGAATGTAGCTGTTACATACAGTAAATCAAACTGAATGCCTTCTAATGACAACACAATAAAACATCAACTGGTTAAAAGGTAATTAAAGCTCTGAGTAGTTTTTGAGAAGAGTACTTTGTACTTTTACTTAAGTATTTTTTTTACAACACCAGTTCTTTTACTTGTAACTGAGTACAATTTAAGCAGTGTAACGGTACTTGTACTTGAGTACAAATTTTCAGCACTCTTGCCACCTCTGATGACCCTTTAGAAAGCTTTTTACAGATTTTCTGATCAGAGATTTGTTGCAATCTGTTGGCTTCTTTAAATGAGCTAAATGAGTTCACAAATCATTTTTATAAAGCTATAACGACATTGAACTCAGCTGAATTGACCGAGACTGAATTGGCCCAGTAATAATTGTTTGCACTTGTTTCCCATTTTATAAAGTGCACTGAGAGCTATAAAACAGAATTCAGATAAATATGAGTCCTACTTGCGTTTTGGCAATGGAGCTACCTTGAAGACCATAAAAATTATTATCAGGCAGAAATCTCTGCATGAGACGGTTGTTATTTACTTTGGGCCAGTCTTGACTAAAGAGCTGGGTAATGTAAAACAGGATGGAGGTCAACAGCAGTCACCTCGGGGATTTTCTGAAATGGCCTGCGATGAACAGTGAGAGGGAAATTGGAGCGAAGATGCCATCAAAATGATTTGCCAAGAAACTAAAAGCACCAAGTTCTGAGTACAACAGAGAGGAAGAAAGGCAGGAGTGAGGGAAAAGGCTGGTGCAATAATAAAGAAAATGATTTCCACTGATGGACACTAAGGGAAGATGGGCTTACAGTTCATTTACATTCAGGCGAGTTTGATTCATGATTTGAATGTCGACGCATCACAACCACTGAGAGCCCTGACATTTGAAGTCCGGCAGACGAAAACAGATCTAAGTGCATGAGAGTGAATTATTAAAAAGTAAAGAAGTGCGCCTCGTGCACTTGTTTCTTGGGTGCGCACTGAAACGTGTGTCTGCGGTGTGACATGTGACAAGCCACTTTATGTAATGACCTTTCTTTACATGCGATGGACCCGTGTCGGTGTGATAAAACATGGAGATTCGTTGAACATAAATTTGGCCACAGTGACATTTTTAGTACAACGTGATGGGAAATCCAATTATACAAAGTGTATTAAACATAAGTCTGATAAAACACACACACACACACACAGGTAGCAGGAAAGCAGTGTTTATGTGTTTTGGGCACAAGTCCAACAAGTCTGTTTGGCTGTCTTTTCCTCCTGTTTCTCTGCTGACAGGTATTCAGATCAGATCAAAAGAGGTAAAGTCTGCAGCGATGTGGAATAAAAAGTAACGTCTGCCAGCTGCTGAAAAATTCATTTGTTAGAATGCTTCATCCTTAAAAAAGAATGGTTTACTTTGCGGAGGCAGTCTTTTCCTGAACCGTCTTCAACACCAGTTATGACTAAAAGCATTACGCAATATCTTTATTGTTATTGTTAATATTCTTGTACATTTTACTCGTGTGTCTCGACCTGCGGCTTTCAAGCCACGTGAGATTTATAGTCAGTTTGAAAAGGCTCCCAGTAACTTTGATCAAAAGTAACGAGAGCCTCCTGAGTTTTTTTTTTATTGTATCTTCTTGTGACAACAGGTAAAGATACCTTTAGCAATTTATTTGTCCAAATACATTGTATTATGTTTCATTCTGTAGCAGAATGACACTGGTAACCTGGGGTTCCTTTATAAACTAATTATTTAGCAGCGATTAGCAGACATATCAATGATTATAACTGTGTAACACACCTTTCCTTCATTTCAGTTGCATATTTAGTCAAATATGGTCTAAATTATGTTTAAAATACAGTGATCCATTTTACTGTTGAGCTAGTAGTTTCTTTTATTTAATCCCTACTTTGAATTTTGCAAATGTCTGACATATGTTTGTATTTCACTCAAAATCAACAAGAACATTTCAACAGAAATTGCAAATAACCTGATTGTAAGACTTTAGGAAAATGGTTTGGACTGACAAATTACTCAGAGAAATATAGAAATAAAGACATGCCTCTATAATAAAAATCCTACACTACTTTAAGCATGTTAAAGAAATGAAGATTTTAGCCTTTTGAAGACTTTTAAATGTGACAAATAATCAACAATGACCTCATGCTAATTTTGTGTTTAGTATATTTAATTTAAACATAATGATGCAACATTAGGATGCATCATAAAATTTGTAACATCCCAGTAACAAAACAGTTGTTTTACTTTTTTATTATTTCTTGAAGTCAGGATAAAAAAACAATCACTTTTTGCCATTTAACTGATCCTCTGGAGATCAAGAACTGGGGGCAGGGATGTGTTAACATTCAAGACTCTTGTTCAGGGTTAGAGTCGCAGCAAAGACAAAATATAAGAGTTTGACCTGAAAGCAAGGCGCCCATCTGCTGCAGAGATGTTGCACTGCAGCTTAAATTGCACTCTGACTCATGGCTTTCCAACATCCAGGGAAAACAAATTACTGTGGCTGAAGTGTTCGTGGTATTTCACAGCTTCTATTTTTATTTATATTTTGCACAGTTTCACAGCAGTCCATCCAGAAGCCTGCAATATATTTAATAGTGTGAATGCTTATGAAGCAGTTTCAAAGAATCATATATCAAAACGTTCAGCTCTTCCAGGACAATCCTGCTATGACTTTTGGTATTGGAGCAGCTTTACCTTTTTGAAATATTTAGCCTTTTGTGCCATTTTTCCTCATAGACAATGAACTGAGCTCATTTTTCATCCTTCAAATCTTTAGATCTATTTACAACCTTTTACTGCTCCTTTCACATTTTGTTCTGGTTCAGCTTCTCTCAGCTTCCTTGGGCAAATTAAAACATTTTTTTCTGCTATTTTCAGCTATTTTCAACTGTTTTGTGCTCCTTTCAGATTCTTTCTGCTAACTACAACATTTTTGTGATTCTGCTAATTTCAACTTGTTTCTGCAAGTTTCAGCATTATCTCTAATTCAGCTACTATATAGCTGTTTTTATGCTAATTTAAGCTTTTTCAGTTAATTCCACTTTAAAAAAAAAATATATATATATATATTTTAGCTCATTTCAGGTCTTTCCGCTTCTGGTAGTTTAAGCTTCTTTCTGCCTTTTCAGCTACTTTTCAGTTACTTTTGCAAATTTCAGCATTTTTATATAATTTCTTAATTTTTGTGCTCATTTCTGCTTATTTAAACCAAATTCTGAAAATATGTGTTCTTTCTGCTTTCTTCTGCTAATTTAGGCTTGTTATTCAATTTTAGCAACATTTCAGCATTTTTTTTAGCTAAGTTTTTCAGCAAGTTCCTCTGCAATATGCATTCGTTCACACTGCATTTTGGCAGGGAACACAATTTCTCTAGTCTGACATTTAACACAGCTGCCACTTTCTCAGATTCCTGGTAGGAAATGATAATTACATGTAAACTCAAAAGATCTGCGTCAAATATTACCATTCCTCCAGCAGGTCAGTTCAGATTCAAGACGCTGGATAGTCTCCTTCATTGACCTGTTCTTCTCCTTCTCCTTCTCGTACTTCTTCTTCCACTGCTCTGCTGTGAGCTCCAGATTCACTGTTACCGTGTTCCTAATGGTCTTGGCTCTAATTGGAGGGAGACAGCAGGAGAAAAGAAGGAGCGAGCGTGACAGATTAGGATGGAAAGGTAGGAGGAGAGTGCAAAAGTGGAAAAGATACAGGAAAAAAAAAAAAAGAGGAAAAGGAAAGTGTGACGCTCAGGCTATGGCTGCTCATTGAAGATGGTCCTGCATCTCATTAATTGGTATGCAAATTGGGTTTTAGCAAACAGAGTTTGGCGGCACAGAGGAAGAGGAGGAGGCTGCAGGGTCCTCAGTGCAACAGACCGCTTGAAACAGTCACACTGAAACATAACGATTGTACAAATTCTAAGATGATGGAGTGTCTTTTTCTGCTCTTATCATTGAAAAGAAGCACTCATTGTTATGAAGCCATGGTGCTCAGTGTCTGCTACTTAATTTCACACTTCACCGAGAGAACAATGTGTTCTTAAACAAGAGATTCCTTATACCAGCAAGACAACTAACCTTATCTGAGAAATTCTCACCAAATTAGACTTTAGATGAAATGTTGTGTGTACGGCACAACTATCAAATATCAGATGTTTTTCAGATTAAATTGGTTGTGAACATTTGTAAACACAATTTTTTTTAATTGTAAACAAAACACAGCACTTAATTCAAAGAGACGTTACATTCTGGGTGTTTTAATTTCTATTAAAATGACAATAAATTTGTGTTTATACTTCATCTTTTTTCTTATTCAAATGTGTGTCGCACCCTTTATTCTGGATTTTGTCCAAAATTCATAGCAAGAGAATCAAAACACAACAATTTTTCTGTTTCTTCGAGTAAGACGTAGTGAAAGCTGGAAAGCGGACCACATCTTGCTAATTAGATTTGAAGAAGGAGCCAGCAGCTGTGTGTGGGTCGAGGCGACGCTGGAGCGATTGTAAACCAGTCGAAGGCGCCGAGTGTGTCGTCGTGCAGCAGCTCAGGGCTACTTTACACAGATTCACGTTACCGTTGGCCGAACATCAGCGTGGATTTGGTCTCGGTGTCGTTGTAGCTGGAGGGGGAGCAGCAGATGAACATGGTGGTGCGACAGTTCCCGCCAAGCGAGTCCTGAAGGATGCGAGTCATTTTGCTGTCACGATACGGCACGTGGGATTTCTACAAAAGGAAGGATGGAGTTTCACGATTGAAAAACGAGGCACAAAAAAAGACGGAGAGGTAGATAAGGCTCAAAGACGTTCTGAATTGCTGCTCCACCATGCCTTCCTTTGAAATGTGTGTTGTAAGCAGCAGCGGAGAGGAATAAAAGAAAAGACTGCTCTATTTCTGCCACATCGTTCACAGAATTACTAGTTTAACCTCTGAAGTGTGCTTTAAAGAGTGCGGCCTTGATCGGTGGATAAGGAATGAATGTTTTTCACACGCTGGTGAAGCTTTTATAATCTGTCAGCCCTTCCAGTAGGTTTATGAGTTCTCTGAGCTTTATTTAAGAGGAGATGGTAAACGTTTAATATGAGGGCCCTCAGAGGACCACAGCATGGGGGACAAATGGATCGTATTACAACTGCCACAGCACAGAGACTCATTGATTAAACGGGGCAGAAAACCAGCTCACGTGTCACTGATTTGACCCGAGAGTCAAAAGTCCCCTTTTTTAAACCTGGTGCATAGATTAATGTTCATGCATGATAAGTTAAAGATTATGGCTCTGTTAAATAAAATATGGAGCCGTTAATATTTCATCTAGCGTGCCTAATCTATGCTGTTAGCTTTGCACTCTCGGTGACAAAATATAAAACATTCCGACATAAACTAGTTCACTTTTAACCTCATTTTTAGTCTTTATGTTGAACTATTGTACCTGCAGTTAAGAGGTAAGATAGTAATATTAACTATTTCTAATATTAGAATTAATAGACCTAAATGGTTCATTTAAAGTAGGCTTAAGGATTTTCCATAACTGCCTGGATTCATAGCACTGGTGATGTAACTGATTTTAAATTATACTATATTTGGGTTGCTCTAACACTTCTGGCCCATTGTTCACCTGGTTCAGACAACAAGCATGAGCTATCTGTTTAAGACAAATAATGAAGAAGGCAGGTCTTTAGACAGCTTCCGACAGATTAAAGGGAGTGCAGAACATTTTTCCACCGTACCGTTCCTTCAGCCAACGCTGAAATGACGTTCCCCAGTGCCGACAGGGACTTGTTGATGTTCTTGGCCTCATCCAGCACCGCTCCCTCTGCACCCGTCTTACTGACCTGACACAAATACACAAAGATGAGACAATGCGCCTCATTATTTAAGTATAATTTCCAAGGCGCATGGGAAAGGTGTCACAAAAACAGGATTTGGAAAAACAAGATGTTAACCTTATCTCTCTGTGTGTAACAAAGACTGGTGAAAGCTTTTATATAACAAGCAGACAGGACTTGTAAAAATCAGCATCAGGAGGCCTTAGAATGAAAATGACAGCATGTATTGATGGTCACTTTTAAAAAAATTCATTCAACCTTTATTTATACAGGTTAATCCCGAAATCCGACTGCCTGCTTCGGATCGAATGAGAAAAACACACCGCTGAAACCACGGAGCTCGAATGTCCAACGTCCAACGTAAAATTAACTTCACCGCGGTAAATGGACTGTACTTATATAGCGCCTTTCTATCTTATTTCAAGATACTCAAAGCGCTTTACACTACAATCTGTGCCTCATTTACCCATTCATACAGCACTAGATCTCTACAAAGCTAATTGAACAAATCATTCTAATGAGACTAATCAGTGCTTTAGATCACATTCATATACCGATGGGACACACATCAGAGGCTATGAGGGGTTCATTGTCTTGCCCAGGGACACTTCGGCATGTGACTGCTGGTGGATTCGAACCCCCAACTCTCGCATTGGAGGATGACTGCTCTAACCACTCAGCCACAGCCACCCGGTAGAGAAATGAGGCTCCAGCAGAGCACCAACAGTTAAGAAATTATTAGAAATTAGAAAAAAAAAAGTTATTTATTAACTGATTAAATCATGTTTTAGACCACTTATTGCTAGCAAATCTATTCTGACCCAAAGTGCAGCCATGACTGGTTCTGAATGAGGCTTTACAGCAGACAGCCACTCCCCTCTCTTCAAGGTACTGCGTACCGGTACAGAATCTTTTAGTGGTACGCAGTACTGGACCGTACCATCTTACTTTCACCCCTGGTTGTGACATTATATTCTGTTGTCTGTATTGTTCTGTTGGTACAGAACCTCGTGCGAGTGAAAGGGGGTGGGTGTGACAGTGGTAACACAAAAACATGTAGTTAGCAATGAGTCATGTTATCACTTGGATTTGAACCAGTACATTTTGCATCCAATAAAAACAAAGATGTTAACAAATAAACTGGAAAGTATTCTGGCAATTTAGTAATATTTCCACAGTTGTGGTCTTGACTGGTCTTGAAATAAAAATCCCGAGTCCTCAATGTCCGAGATCGAGACAAGACTGAGACCAAATGTGGTTGAGTCCAAGACAAGACCAAGACCATCAAAAAGTGGTCTTTACCACTTTTTGATGGTCTTGGTCTTGAGACCGGTCTTGAGTACTACAACATTAGTATTTAGCGTATATCTTAGCTCTTTTAGCATACCATTTAGCGTTCATTTAGTGTATATCTAAGATCCTTATATGCTATTTGTTTTTATACTTTATATTTTTGTTATTTTTGGGTGTAACTGGGACACTGAGTACATAATTTAGTTCCACCTCATGTACCACATGTGATAGAAATTACAATAACTTGAACCTGAACTTGAAAATCATGGTTATTACCCAGGCATTGCTAACACGCACCAATTAAAAGAAACCAACACATTATAAAAGCAAGCGCTATAACACACACACATTAACAGGCACTTAGTTACAGTCAACTGCTACAAGGAGCAGGAAAAACAAACAAAATATGTGGTAGACAGCATACAGCAGAATAAAGAGTGCAGTTTAATGGAAAATATGTAAACTTTAATAAATAAATTATGGAAGGTAAAATGTTTTAGTTGAGTCAAAATTAGGCTTGTTGGGAAAACTGTAAATTGACTTTTTGCCATAGATTTTTTAAATATTGAATTAGTAAAAATTTAAAGACAGAGTAATTTTTTTTTCCAGAGTAAGTTCAAAAGACATCAGATGAAGTTTGACTTCATGAAAATGTCTCCCAGAATGTTAGTTTTAGTAGGAAAGGCAAGTCGTCCAGAGCCGTGATCGTCACGGGATCCAATTAGAGCCAGATTAAAAGGATTTTAATTATAGCAGAGAGAAAGTTGTCCCATCAAAGCATTTTCTAAAGCGTACAACATTTTCCTGTTTACTCCCAGCCGTGATACTTTGTACCAAACCATAAGATGTTGGCGGAAAAGATCCACTTCTCTGTTGTCCCACAAGACAACTTACAGATGCACCATCAGCACTTAAAAGCAACAAAACACAGCTGTCAGCATCTGTCCAGAGTATACAGGTCTCTGCTCCTCTCTGGGAGCACTGTTCCATATTTTCCTATACTGCTATCCAAGAGCTAGAAGATGTGAGAGATGTGTCTCTAATGTATTTTCCCCAACTACTTCAGAGTGGGACATCTTTTCTGTCCATGGGGTAAACTGGCTCAGGTTCCCTTCAAAATAAACTTCGGAGAAGAAGAATCCTTTGGAGCTGCAAATATGTTAATGTTTCCCAGTTGTTTTATTTGTTTGTGTACATTTCTTTGCAATATATTTTTCAAAAAATAAAAACAACTGAATTTTGTAAAGTGATCAAACACAAACTCTAATGTTATGGACAAATGATGGACTAATTAACACTTGAAAAATAAAACTTAGTCTTTATGGTTCCACAATGTCCAACATAAATCTGTTCACTGGGGAAGAGGTTGAGATATCTTTAGGGTTGGGAGACTAAAACAAGTTGTTTATCTAGTTTTATCAATATCTAAAAATAAATCTGAGTTTCAAAATCTGGTTTAAGAGTTTTAAAGTCTATCATTGTAATCTTACCTTCTCACTTCCGGCTAAGTCAACGAGGTACAGCTTCCCGATCAGCTTCTGCTCCGTCTCCACGTTTTCCTGTTTGATGTTTATGAGGAAGATGCTGTGACTGCGGGAACTGTGTTCATTCATGTCTAGAGCAAAATATGAAAAAAGAAGAAAAAAAGATGACTGTCTTTTTTTTAAATTTATTATAATTTAATTCACTTACAAACAGAAGAAATCAAAGATTCTCACTCTGCATTTTTTTTCCCACTGAAAATATGTTTGACATTAAGTGTTGGTGAGTGTCTGACCATCAGGAAGATCAACGATGTGACTCACTGGTGACAGCGACGTGACGGTTGGCCTTCCCCTCATCTATCACATCCATCACCTCCTCTGGACTGGTGACGAAGCGCTCTGTGCAGCCCTTAATACAATACAGAAGTTTATTACATTAATATATGATGTCTTACTCACTTCAGCTACTTATTATAAGCTGTTTGGTTAATAGTCCTTATTACCAAACAGACCTCTTTTAGAAATGGTTTACAAATCACTGACTGTTCTTTTACTGACTATGGCGTGGAGGTAGGGAGACGCAGTTCTCATCGCAATGTGTACAAAAAAGTGTACTTGGATGTTCTGGTTGAGTTGTTTTTGTATGCAGCTGCTTATCTGTTATAAAGGTGTTATCTCAGTAGGCTGTAAATGTTAGAGACTAGTTAGCAACTCATTTTTAACTCAGTATCACAAGTAATTTCTACTTCTGTTGCAGTCTAACTGAATTCTGAGTATTTGGAACCAAGGGACCAGCAGGCCGTGCAGGTTGTTTCCACAGCCAATTTGTGAAAATCACACCTTATTTTTGTGTTTACGGCTTCAAAAACTGTCATCTGGGCTGTGCACATTGTTTTGTTGTCCACCTCTGGCCACGTTGTACAGACTTTGGCAGCTGCTCCAAGGTTTAGGATTTGACCTGTTGAACTACACTTATCACACGATTTGGACCAGTTGTTTTATTAGACGTGGACATGTTTTCTATCTGAGGAGAGCCCGCGGCAAAAGATAAAATAAAACTCAAACTCTCTTGAGATGGTTCAAGATGCCTGCAATGACTCTGTGAGTCACTCAGAGTTTGTCACACTTTTTTTTTTTTATATGTTCAAGTTCAAGCATCAAGTCTACGGTTCCTCTACAACTCAAGCAAGGAAACCAAGAACCCCTGAAAATATCAAGAGACATTCTGGAATGAATGTTCACCACGTGTGCAGTCGCAGCCTGGTGGAATACAAGCTTAAAGCTACTATCTTACTGATTTTACCTTTAACTTTCAACTCATATCAGGGCGATTGAACAAAACTGTTCAGGGATGCACAGTTACTGAAAGCCAGCAGCTCAGGGGCCGGACATCCAGCCGTTAAAGTCATTATGTAAATAAACCAAGTTTTACAATGAGCTGTTATCTTTTAAATTTGTTTGTTTTATTGCATTGAATCATAAATGCAATAACAGAACCCAAACCCAGAACCCCCCATCCCCCACCAAAATAAAATTCTATTATTAGTTTTTATGACCTCATTAATGGGCCGGACTGAAGTGATCCGGCCTGTGGGCCGCCACTTGAATAGCCCTGACATATATGAAGGATTTCAATCTTATCATCTCTGACAGAAAATGACAAACTGTATTTTCCACTAAAGTGCAACAAAGTGTGAACAAATATAAAAGCCTTGCTAACTGCTAATTTATATAAAAAATTAAAAAAAAGAGTTAGATTAACGAATAATTGCTAAGAACTAATGAGAGGATTTGTTGATCACTTTAATGTGTTTAATGCTGTAAGCCAACATCCAGCAAATGCTTCCTGAGACTGAAAACAAAACCGTTGCTGTTTGTTGCTTAGCTTGGCTATGCTAACACGCTCCTTACTGAGTTCAGCTTGAAGCTCCCCAAAATAAGATTCATGTTAATCACCTCATTGGTAGCAGAAATAATAGTTTTAAGGCACAACTGCAGTTAAATGCAGCATCATCTTTTCATCAAGAACATCATATTAACTAAAACATGGCTTTTGCAAATAAACTAAGGACAATTTTCAGTACTAAAAACATGTATAAAACTGTATGAATGTCACAGTTTTATAGCTGCTTGCTTTAGTTTACCTTGTGAGCGTGTGAGTGCAGGGATGAATAAACAAGGACAGAGTTTCAGGGCTAAAAACTGAGTGTGACGGGAGAGTAAAGTGATGGCACAAGCATCTCGGCCTCTTCGCTTCCAGCACCCTTTGATTTATGCTTACACCTTCACCAAGAACAGCATTACAATAGAGAAAAATTATAATCTGCTGCCAAGCTGGATTATATCTGGAGTTGACTCACCTTCACATAAGGAACTCTGTATTTGTCTTCATGCACTGACAGGTTGTTTTTAGTCACTGAATGCATGAGGGGAAAAAGAAGAGAGGATCATTTTTTATTCAAGGTATTACTCGTTGTGTGTGTGCGTGTGTGTGTGTGTGTGTGTGTGTGCATGTGTGTGTCTAGGGCTCTGTGAACTAATCATATTCCCTTCAAATTTGTGAGTCAGCCTCTGTTTATGTTGCATTAAACAACATTATAGAACTGCACTCTCTTTTAAATCTAATACATTTTTGACAATATCATGGAGAGGTTAAACACATTCCTGCAAGTTTGAGTGGACAAAATATAGTGTTTGCAAAAAACACACCCTCACACTTCTGTATTTATCATTTCTAATGGTCCTGGTTTGCTGAGAGAAATTTCACTGCAAAACAGTATTAGGAGTTTTTTTGGTTTTTTTTAAGAGAAGTTTTGTTTGTTTTATGACCTTGCTATTTCTCCCTCAACAACTTCTCCTTCTGGGAGTGGTTTTCTGTTTGCTGCCTTAATTTGTCTAGCTGGTAGTTGACGTTTTTATTGCTCATGGTGTAAATGTTCTTCCGCCTCTAACTCTCCTGCATACAGATGGAGGTTCAGATCACTGGGTCCATAAAAGAAGTAATCCCAGGATAGCTGAATACAACTCTTGATCCAGGGCTCAACGCAAGTTTACACAGTAATTATTTCTTAGTGATAAGACTATACGACCAGCAGCGTGTAAACAAATGACTGGGACAGATCGGCAAAGCCATGTGATAATACATAAAGTTGTTAATTTTAGTTTAATTAAAGTTAATCAATCACTTTATAGTTATTTCATTTAACATTTTTGTCAATACAATGCTTTCATAGCTCATTTCTCCTGAAAATTTTAACAATATTGAAATAAGTCTAGTTTTAGAATATGTTTGAATTACGATGGACAAAAATAAACACTAAAGGCAGACTCAAGCAGTGGCTCGAGTTTAATTACTGCCTGCCGTCCACTTCATATGTAGCCCCTGATGCTCCTGAGTGTAACTGTGAAGCTTTAAATCCTCATCTGTACAACACAGAACTGTGCAGGGTTATCAAAACGTGAGTACTGTTCTCACAGCTTCAGTGCATACACATACCATCCAGCAAGTCCCGGATCTTTTCCATGTAGATCTCAAAGTACGAAACCTGTAAAAAATTTAATGAAATTTATTTATTTATTTTTTTAAAAGCTAAAATCATAGAACAGCTGATTTGCAGGAAGGCAAATAGAAAATCAAATTGTGAGTACTGTAGTCCCTCGTTTATCTCGAGGGATCCGTACCCTGAAGACCCACGATAAGTGAAAAACTGTGAAATAGGAATAGTACTACAAGTAGTAAGTAGTTTATTTATATATGTATATATAAAGGCATTTTAAAGCCTTCCCACACTCTTGCAATCTTCTAAACAATGTTTCTAAACTCTAAACGCTCTAAAAGAGTACAGAATGTCATTATTTTCCTGTCTCTGCCTCCTCTGCTCTCAGCCACTTGCAAGCGTTCTTGGCCACGCCCACTATTTTGTTCTGCACAGTGAACAGCTGATCAGCTGCAGAAGGAAGGTTATCCTGCAGTACGTGCTTCACAAAGGTGCAGCAGGTGCTAAATACTTTTAAATAATTTATTTTAAATAAAAATTCCATGCTGATCATGCGACTCACCCATCAATCAGCCAATTGTGTGTCATGTCCAGTCTTATTTTGAAAAACAGCGATTGAGCGAGTCCGCGATAAACAAACCGCAAAGTAGCGAGGGACTACTGTATTGGAATTGACATTTCATTTACTATAAGATGCTGCTCAGTACTGTAATGGTCTTTTCTCTTGATTTGAATATAATTATTGCAGTTAAATATTAGTAATAAGACACTGGTTTATTGATGCTTGTTAGGATTTTAAAATTAATTCACACAGACTGTGTGTAAAAGTGCAAATGCACAGATGAACAGTGGCAGATGAAATCGCTCACGTACCTTAATATGAAACTCCAAGTTTTCATCCATGGCAAATATGTGTTCAAAAATGTCCTGGGCGATCCGAGGAATGATTCCCATCGCCTGTGGATCATGAAGGCTCCCCTGTAAAAGGAATGAGACAAAATAAGTATAAATCTTGAATGAACCGTGGAATAAATCTTGAGCCTCGGGCAAATTGAGCAAAGAGGAAGGTTTAAAACCGGAGAACAAGGTGGATTCTGACTTGCGACAACCAGAGTTACAAAGGATGTGAGTTCCCACACATGGCTGTAGTGAAAGATAAAAAATGTTGGAAATGGGTTTACAGTACAGCCATTGTAGGTGGAGGAGGATTACAAAAATATAAAAAGGACTGTGGTTGTATGGAAGGGTGTACAACAACAGGAGGTCTTCCTTTTGAAATATTTAACACTACTATACCTCCATGGTGTGTGTTTTTCCTGAAGAAGTCTGCCCGTAGGCAAAGATAGTCCCATTGTATCCCCCAAGCACATCTAATATGAGAAGAAAGAGGAAAACATATGTTAGATGGGGGAATCAGGGAAATTTACCTGATAATGAAAAAATGGCATCTTAAGTGTCTGCATTACTGGCATCAGCTGTATAAACAAGACATGCAGAGACAAATATCTTTCACTTCTGATACAAATTGAGCCTCATAAAAATTGTACACTGCGGAGCGTATAGTATTGAGGCTTGAGTGGGTGGTGAAATACCTGTTGTGACTGTGCACAATAAACAACAACTACCTGAAGCTTTTAGCATCACCAGGAGCCACTCACCGGGGCTTCAAGCAGCTACAAATAGATTATTCTCTCCATTCATTTGGAGCCACAGGACAAACAACAATGTGTCGCCAGTTGCCGTAATAAAGAAGCACATTGTCGAACGTCATAACGCTGACAAAGACCCATAAAACCAGGCAGTAAAAGCCAAACGGCCAAAGAAAAACATCATGCTGAGAGGCTGGCAGCCACAGGTGAGCTGACCACGAACAAATCAGAAAACCTCTCAGCTGGAACCGAGCAGAACCCCGTTTCCCTCCACGTCTTCCCCGGATGCTCGGCGAATATCACAGCTCTCTGCTCAGCAGCTTGTCTTGTTCTGCTTTCACACAAGTCGGATTGAGACCAAAACAATGTGATGGAGGGGGGGAAAAAGAGTCAAAGGATAAAACCTGAGCTCTCAGGATGCAGAGGCAGCAGAAGATTAGATGGCTATAACAAAAGATATCAAACTGAGAGAAGAAAGCGTAAGAGCGAGACCACCCACAAAAAAAAAAAAGATTAAAAAGAGACAGACACTCAGAAAGACTATAAACAAGAGAAATGTCTTCTGAAACTTGGTATCTCTGATGTCGCTCCCCCTGCTTTTTTCCTCCTGACAACTCTCCAGTCTCAGTCTTCACTCAGTGCCTACACTTTGAACTTCTCCAACCTCGTGCTTTTAGCCTGTCGTGTCTTTTTATTTAATCTTCCCTCAGCCTACATGGCAATCTCCCAGCTCGTAACCAATCTTTCTCATGCTCTATCTGGAAATAGTTCAATGAAGTTCAATGCTTTGAAGAAAAACAAGATCTTAACAAGAAAGAAATGAGGTGTACAAAATAAGAAAAGAAGTAAAAAAAAAAAAAAGACTTTTCAGCTTCAGGGTGTTGGTTCGATTTGATCCAAAGCTTTCTGGTGACTACACCACTGAGCGAAAAAATATTCTGCAAGTTGAATTTTCAGGGATTCATGTAATTGTTGAACAAACATAATGCTTTCAATGAACACAAAATGTTAATAAAGCCTAAATGATGATCAAGTTCAACGTGCTATTCTTTTTTTATTTGATCAAGAAACAGTTATTTCCATAGGTTACGGTTTAATTTACACTGTTATTAAGTTTGAACGTTTAATAACTTGTTTTCAGACATTCGGAAAGCCTACAAACTACAACTGCTGTAATTTGTTCATTTTTACTTTTAAAAGAAACACAAAATGACAATAAGACAAGGGCTTGAGTCATTACAAAATAACCAGTGACTAGTTTAGTTCCTGTTTGTCAATAACTACTTGTGGCATTTTGTCAGCTTTGTTTTTTAATCTTGTTTCAGTCAACATGTGCTGCAGCAGCTTCCTAAATGATGCTCAAAGAGGTGTATTATTGTGGGGAAAAGTCCAATATCTACAAGCTAAAATGGGCAAAACCATGGCTAAAAGCTAAAGTCTGCAAAATTGTTGCTAAAAACTTCATTAGCAAGCTGCAGCTAAATGCTAAAAATATGCAAGACAATAGCTACAAACTGAAGGGGAGATAAAAAGACAAAAGACGAGACGAATGTGCTGAAAGAGATTTCAGGGAACAATGTTTTGGGGGAACTAAAAAGACCTCAATGTATTACTTTCAGATTTTTTTTTTAATAAGATGTAATAAAATTTTGTAAATAATACAACACAGTACTTGAATTGTATTCAGTAAAATACAGTTTCAGTACAACTCAGTACAAGTTTCAGTACAAGGATAAGTCTTGTTGGAGGGTTAGGTTTTAGGGTTAGGACTAAGTTATGAATTGTGGATGGGTTAGGGTTAGGGTTAGGCATGTACTGGTAATAGTTAGGTTTAGGGTAAGGGTCAGGGTTAAACTATAGAAATGAATGGAAGTCAATGCAAAGTCCCCACAAGTCACAAATGCAAGAATGTGTCTGTGTATGTGTGTGAGACCACTTGTTCTCCTGAAAAATCCAAGTGAGTTGTATGACAAGAACATGGACAATAGTGGGCACAGGTTTTTTATTTTATTTAAAACAAAATGTTACACCTAAAGCATTTAACAATTTCTGACTATTCAGTTTCAGTCAAACCTCAAAGTGTACCCTGCTGTATTTACTTCATGAACATATCATGTATTTATCACTTTAAGCCACACCCACCCCTCATTACCAAAACGTTACATCACCTGAAAATGATTAAATTCAATAACGACTCAAGGTTATGTGGTTCAGAGCAGGCAGATGGAAGAAAAGACTGAGCCAGAATGCCCATTTGTCTAAAAGTTATGCATGCAGTGTACCACTAAAGAATGCAGCATTTTAATCTAGTCATCTTCATCTAATTCACTCACGTACTTGTAGGAGGTGCGACAGCATCATGGCATGGAAATAGTTTTTTCTGCTGCTTGCGAGGAGCTGCTACTGCTACACGTGACTAAGGTGCGAACTGACAAAGTCAATATAGAGATCAAGACTGCAGAGGATGTGATAATGCAAGGTCTGCTGTCGTGTTCTCCGTCAGCATTTGTGTCAATCGTGCATCTCGGAGACGAGAGACAAAATGCCACTGATGTGACTCACCTTTGACAATCTGCTTGGCACAGGCGTTGTAGACTTGTTCCTGTGTGGTGATAGTCGGGAAGACCTGGTCAAACACGTACGACTTCCCCTGTGAATGCCAAAACAAACTGTCATCGAAGACAAAGACACTTTGCAGCCTGTTTTAGATTACTGTCAGCACATCGGCCTCTCCTGTGACTCCCTATAAAATCCAGCAGAGAAAGTTTGCACAAGGGTGTGTGCGTGAGACTTTACACGCCATTTCGATTACCAAAGTAAAACGTAAATCTATAATGGTACTATATGGAAGGAAAATATCAATATTTCTTTTAGAGAGTGAACTTGTGGTTTAAATGCTGCGTTCGCGTGCGTTGGGTCAAAACAGCAGACCTAAAAGCGTCTTTTCAAAGGTACGGCATGCATCCTTAAGTGTTTTTTATGCTACTTAGAAGTAGTGCTGCTTTTGATTAGAGTGATGCTACGCTGAGCTTTAGGTAGAAGATGGTCTGACCCCATGAAGAAAGACAGAAATTCCCTGAGACGAAGCCATTAGAGGCAGCGTTCAAGGGCTTCGAGAGTGAACTGACGCATCGGAGAGAAGAAATGGATTGGGGGAGTGGAGCAGAGCAAAGGATAGAAAATGCAGCGATGAAAACAGATGACCTAAAACCAGCATGTGGGGAAGACGCCATGAAATAAATCCATAATATAAAAAAAAAGAAATTCAAAGTAAGAGAGTTTTGAATTATTTAGCTCTAAACCAGAAACTCCTCGCTTGAATATTAATGTGGAATTTAAATGGTACCTCACCAGCAGTTTATCTGTCTGTTATTGAGTTTTAATATGACACAAAATGTTCACTCAGCCCATAGTCCAATATGGGCAGTATCATTAATATATTAATGAAAACGAAACTGAAGATCTGATGATGATGATGATGATGAATATTGCGACTGATAGCAGACTTATCTGGTTAGGAAGCAAACTGTGAGGTAATTACACCTGAACAAATGCAGCTTAAAGAGTAGAAGCGTCATGGTTCTGAGTTGTTTGTTTGTTCTAGTTTGTGTTTCTTCTTTCTTGTTTTACCTTTATTTAAAATCCCTCTGAGTTAGATTCATTTTGATTATTTGCCTTATGCTGAGTGATGTTTTGAGTTTTATTTCTGTTATTTTAAGGCCACTAGATGCTCCCGATAGTTCTCGTTTGCAGAGCTTGTCAAACCATCAATATTATGTTAGTAATCAGCACACCTGTAATATTTTACTCATCAACCTTTCTGGTTTATATATTCACTGTTTTTGGCAGTCTCTTGTCTTCTTTGCTAAGATATATGGTCACTGTTTGCCTTAGACTTGGCTGTTAATGTTTGCTAAGGATCGCAGTTGGATAACTTAATTATCCTACATAAACTCATTTATCAAATAAACCACACAGGATGCGAGAAGACCTTTACAACCAAGGTTTAATCCTTGCATGGGGAGCAGCAATTGAAAACAGGGATACAATATGTTACACGATGCCCTGATCACAAGGTCTGCCCATGGACAGCAGAAAGGAGCATCAACTTATATTTTATCAGAAAAGGTGAGGTCAAGACAACTCAGCTTTCCAACTTAGGGGTTTTGAAGTTTATCAGGTACACAGGCTCCATGGTCCTGCAGGCTCCACTTAGTTCAGACAAAACAACTCTAACTCACACACATGGTTCTATAACATTAGTAAGTGAAAAACATCCATGACCTTTACATCCCCCATCAATCTCCTTCCCGATTCTGCCTCTTGTGGGCTTCTGTGTTTGGCTCCATTCACACAGCAAACTGTCATAAGTTATAGTTATTGAATAATGCCCATCAGGTAAAAATAAACAAACAAGCAAAACGTGATAAATAACTAAAAACAGTATTTTATTAAGAATGTTCAAAAATGCAATCTTGAAAATGATCTTAAAAATAGGACTCTGTTTGCCAGGTTTAGTTTTTACTGGAAGAGCCAGCTTCAGTAAACCTCTGAGTAAGAAGTCTTTTATTTCATCCCATTTATTCAAGTTTTTTATTTTTTTCATCTTTTATTCTTGAGATAACACCTAGATAATTTGTCACATGTCAGCTCGCAGTCAGTTTAGTATTGCTGTGTTTGTAGATATCTTTTAACTAAGCATGCCAACAAACCTGCCATCAGCAAAAAACAGGAAAGCAGAAGAGCTCTGCTGCAAACAAAATTCATCTTTTCCAATTCAATGAATAAAACTATTAAGAAACAATAAACTATTACACTTTATAAACAGCAATGATTTATATAAACCTGGTGGAGGTAAAGCACAGATCACTCTCCATTCAAAGTGGAATTGTTGCACCTTTATTGCTGCCATGTTCTCCTTTTAGGGACGCACGGAAGCAGAATAGAAGGTCAGAGTTAATGCACCTTTGTGCCGACAGCTGATGTAGTCACAGAGCAGAAACAATTTGTGCCTCTGTGTGAAGGACATGCAGCATGGAAGGACTCCGCTCTGAGCTATAGCGATGCCGTTGCCTGAAACCACACACTCATGCGGCTCTAAACCGTCTCTGTTTGGTCGGTACGAACAAGAAAAGGCAGACAGAGCGTCAGCAATCATGTCGTTTTTGTGCCAGTGTGGCGTGACCGCTGTAAGAAACAGTCAACTGAAACTAAAATCACTGCTTTTTAAACAGAAACTTGTCATCCCATTCAGCATGGCTGTGAGTTTCTGCCGTGACTGCTGCTCTTTGCTAAACTGATGTATACCATATTTTTTGGCCTATAAGTTAAAGTTTTTTTTCATAATTTACATGCCCTGCGACTTACACACCGAAGCAACTTATTTATTTTCCCCCATATTTATAAACCAATTTTTTTGGCTGAGAAATGACCGTTTTCATTTATTCTGACATTGAAAATATTGAACACTACCATTTTCAGCCACTAGATAGCACTCAAACAGTATGGCATGCCGTTGTGTCATGTAATAAGTGAAAGTGGCTATTAATGACACTATTGGCTTGTCACCTTTGTCCAGCTCCGGGATCATGCCTGGAGCAACCGGCAAATCAGTTTCATGTCGCTGCACCGCCCTGACTAAATGAAGCTGATTTGACCACTGAAGTGCATTTATTAAATAAAAGTTCAACCGAGACACACCTTTACTATAATGTCGAGCAAACAAATAATTGTTTTTAGGTGCTTATCTTGTTAAATTTCAAAGAAATGCACAGCGAGTCCTCCCACTGCGCATTCCCACTTCTGCAAATCAGCTTTTGAAATGCAGCTGATTTGACCATCAAAGTGCATTTATTAAGAAAAAGGTAGACTGAGACACACCTTTGCTATAATTTTGAGCAACAAATAATTGGTTTTAATTGTTAATCTTGTTAAATTCTTGTTAAAGTCCTCCTGTGCACGCTCCCACGGCCGCCATTTCTTAGCTCATCAATTTTTGGCACAGCGCATTTCCAGGTTGTCAGCGGTGACACGTAACAAATGCAACACGTCACTGGTGATGCATAATAGATGCAACATATATAGCGAAGCGAGGTATTTATGTATTTTTTTCCACTTTATTAGACATATTTGGACTGATGTGACTTATATGGCGGTGCAACATGTACATACAGTACATATACTCAAGCAGGATAGACTACTTGAGTATTCTTGGACACTATTTTTCTCTCAGGACAACATGTATTCAGAACAGCTGAAGCTTTTTCATTTCAATACACGATGAGAATCCAAATATTATTCATCATCTTGCTGGTTTTCAGCACAATATGGAGAAAAGCTGCAACATGATAAATGAAAAAGTACAATGTGTGACATAGTTTTACAATAACTTACTGTTTCCTCATTTTATTTGTGCATAAAATGATTTGCTCACAACATTTTCCTTTACTTTCTAATGCGCTAGCTGTTTAACAGTTGCTGTGGAGGGCTGTAATCACAGCTGCAGGTACAAATAGGCTCTATCAGTGGTGATTAGGATGACTCCTTTTCTTGTGAGCTAATTGTGCAGCACAGAATGCACACACAAACCAAGAGGAGAAAATGTGGAGCTAAAGGAGAAGATGCATGAAGTATTTTTGGTGGATGGAAAGAAATAATCTGTGCCCTTTGACAAGTATTTATTTTTGTGGCTCCTCTCTTACAACATTAATCTGCTCTAAATAGACATAATAGCTCACATGCATTAGATGTGCTGTAAGCATCCCATCTGCATGCCCATTTCCTCCACGGGGACTGTGCATCTAGTCAGGTATAAACACATTTGCTTGTTTGTTTGTGTAATTTGACAGATGTCTCCTCCGTTATTTGGCCGGACACTGACAGAGAGTGCTGGAACAGGATAGAAAAAAGGCGCTCAGACGCAAGAGTGCACGCGTTTCTTTGCTCATTCAAGTGAGTAAATATTACACTGAATTATGCTGGTACAGGCAGACATTGTTCATGGCCCTCAGAATTGTGTGGCACATCAAACACCCACATGGTCCGTCCAGCCAGCAATCTGCTGCTGTCTACCAGAAAACAAAGGAGCCAGCAGGAGAGCGACCACGGCACAGACGAACCACAGCGATAAACACAAACTGTGAGTGACTGGTGATGGGCAGAAATTACCATTTAGACACAACACTCAGGCAGAATGAGCAATGAAGACAAAAAATAAATTAAAATAAAAAGTTGGAATATTTTAAAGCAACATATACCACCACTGCATACCACCTGTTGTAGCTGTTTGGTTAAACCTTGAAAATAATGTGCAACACAAACTGTGATATTTTGAGATGTCACATTCAAAGGATGTGTTGCGAATAACTTTTAGAAACTACAACATAAATTCTTTGCTCATTACATTTAAAAACCACTGAAATACAAGCAATTTTAAGGTCCGTTGAATTGGATTGACTCCCAGCGTTGCTCGGTCATAAATGCACACCCAGTGATAACTTTCTGCAAGTTTCATTCACATCTGTTCAGCGGACGATAGAAAACATGTGGAAAATAGAAACATTCATTACTGAAATCAAAAAATAGCAACAAAACAAACAAGTGATGACTCTTAAAAAAGAGAAAAGGGGTGGCAGAAACACATCAAAAATC